TTAATAGAATGAAAATAATTTCAAAAATAAAAATGAATAAGTATCAATTATTATTTGATTAATTAAAACTAATCATCAAAAATAATTTAATTATTTAAGTAAATTAATAATTAATAGAAAATAATAAACTAAATATGAAAACAACTAACAGTAAATTAATTAATTACCTATGAATGGAAATAATATTGACAATTAAACTAAATTATTTAAATTCATAAATAAATTATTAATGAAGTAATACTTATACAATATAGATAAATAATTATTAATTAAACAATAACTAATAAATCATTTCAACCACTTTACTATTTTTTTTTTTGCCTCAATGTAATTTTTAACTTTTTTTATTTGTGAAAGATGAAAACTAAAATAAATCAATATATATATATAATATATATATATTTATATATTTCAAAACAGCATTATATATTCTATATATAATAAAACATATAACACTAACCAATGTTTAGAAAGCTGGGTGAGACTAGCTAGTCAGATTATTGTTAAACCATGACCCAACTCTTAACCAATTCGATCATACACATAACCCTATTTACTTCAAAAAGAAAAAAAGCCAAAACCATCAACCAAACTGGTCTAACCCAAGAACTAATGAATTGGTTTTGGGTAACTTTTTTGCTACCTATGTGTTTTAAAGTATTGAAGGCACCTTACCCTACTATTTTTGCCTTAAAACAAGGGTGATCATTTTAGCGAGTTGGAAAATTTTGTTATTGGACCTAGATTTTGTGTTTAAAACCCAGTCGAGGCTCGGGTCCTCATTAGTGCCCCAGATTTTAGGGTTGGGCATAAGCCTAATAATTTAAACCTACCTTGGGCTTAACTTGACCCACGTATATTTAATTATAGGTTAGAGTACTTAACTTTGGTTTTAGTAAAAAAACCGTGGTTATGGGTTAGTACATTTAGCTATGGTTTTGTAGCAAACCGTAGTTATAAATAAAAGAACTATAGTTACGATTTTATAAAAATCCATAGTTATAGATTTGGGATATAACTACGGACAGTTTAAAAACTGTAGCTATATACATCTTTTAGCTACGGTTCAGCCTCTGGCTAAAGATTCATATGGTTTGTGTTTGCTTTTTAGTTACGGACATATACCGTAGCTATAGATGGGTTATAACCACGGATTAATTGAACCGTAGCTATAGGTCTATAGCTACGGTTTTTTTGACCTTTAGCCACGGTTTTTCAAAATGATCTGCTTGTACAAGGATGTAAGAAAATGTACAAAATGGTCCAATTAACAAATTAAAGATATGTTAGCTTGGGGCAAAGTATCAAATGAGAGCCTTTTTTTACTAAGTTAATTGATGGAACGCTAACAAAGGGGGCAAAGTGTTGGTATTTGAAACTTCAGGGGTCTTTGTTACAAAATGAAAGTTATTATTAAAAGATAAATCCAAATACCAAATATATTATTAATATTTAGTTGCACCAGCACGTACCAGGCGTTCTTGCACTAGCCAACTGATGGAGGCTTCTAATATTTGGGTTCTGTGCAGGTTATGAAAGTTACTTCTAACTTGTAACTTAACCAACTGATGGAGGCTTTATTGGTAGGATTAAACCCCACTGCCACCAGGGTTGGGGGTTAAGGGTCATGGGGATGGGCTACCCTTGTTGTGTAGCCCCATGAAAAAAAAGAATGATGTTAAATCTAAATTTCCAGCACTACATAAAAAATGGTTTTTACCGGCGTTTAATTAAATCACCGCGTAAAATTGAATATTCATGGTCGGTGTTAATATGAAAGGGAAAATTATCGATCAGTAACTGAACTTTTGAAATGTAACAATTTAGTACCAATCACTAATGGACCATCAGTTATGTATATATCATGACCTCATGTGCAATTTAAGACTATTGAAAATATCAAAATTACCCTTGAAAATAAAACACAATGTTCATCATCTTCTTGGTGAATTTACTAATTGAAAACAACTTTTTTGTAATAGAGGGCACATGATAAATATCTTGCAAATTCAATTGATGATTACCATGAGAAATTAAAGAAGAACCAATATTTTTAATTTGCAAACTTGCTCAATTACTGATTTTCACCTAATTAAACCCACCATAGTTTGATCAAAATTGAAGATTTTYTAACTTGAACATGATATGATGCGTAGCTCCCATGTTTGGATACCAGACCAGATCRCACTACTAGAAAATTCATCTCTAGAGGCAGCCATAACTGTCTCTAAAAGGATAAAAAATGCCTCTAAAAGAAATAGGAGGTGG